CAGGAGGATTATAAATTCTAGGCCAGCCTGAGCTACATGATGAAACCTTGTCTCAAAAAAAAAAAAAAAAAAAATGTCAAAGGTAAAGCTGGTTACCTAGGGAGTTCAAGGTCAACCTGGGCTACATGAGATGGAATGATAGAGGAAGGGGGTTAATAAGCTAAATATTCAGTGTGAGATACAGAAGACAAGCACAGCAAGCAGGACAGCAACTCTTAAAGATGTTGAAGCTGTCTGCATCAGTTACCTTTCTCATTACTGTGACAAAATGTCCCAGAAGAACTTTAAGAGGAGGGTGGCTTTCCTTTGCCTCATGGCGTAAGGTGGGGAAGGCCAGGCAGCTGAGACTCACAGTGCTCCTTGTTGCATCTCAGTGGATCAGGAAGCAGAGTGGTCATTCTGGAAGGAGAACCAGCCTCTGCAGACCTACTATGTCTCCATCTGACCCCATGTCCTAACAGCTCCAGGCACTCCCAGGACAACACAGCCAGTGTTTATACATTTAAGCCTGTGGAGCACATTTCAAATTCAAGGCATGACTCCTTCCCTCTCAGAAACTCCAGGGCACGTGGCCCCATCATCTGCTGCTCCAAACACAGCACAAAGACACCCCACTCCCAGTGTCATGTCCCCAAGGGAGCGGGAAGAACACCAAGTCTATCACATGCTTCTGTGTCTAAAAAACAGCAAATATAGCAGTGTTTTAAAAACACTAATACAAAGAGAATACTTTAAATTTGGCCCAGATGCACAAGGTTGTTTCAATGTTAAAAAACAACAAATGGTATAATTTACGATCCTTTTAATTTTTATCCTCTCTCTCTCTCTCTCTCTCTCTCTCTCTCTCTCTCTGTGTGTGTGTGTGTGTGTGTGTGTGTGTGTGTGTGTTTGACTGCTTATGGTGTTTGTAGAGGCAAGAAGAGGGTGTTAGATCCCTTGGAAATGGAGTTATAGGGGATTGTGAACTGCTCAATGTGGGTGCTGTGAACCAAACCTAGGTCCTCTGCAGAAGCAGCCCGTGTTCTTAACCACTGAGCCTTCTCGACGGCTCCAGGTTTATTTTTTAGTTTTAATTATGTAAAGTGTGGTGCGGTGTGTGCATGTGAGGGCAGTGTCTAAGGAGGGCAGAAGAGGGCATCAGATTCCCAGGAGCTGGACTTACAGGTGTTGTGAGCTGTGGGAACTGAACCTGGGTCTTTTGCAAGAACAGCTGGTGCTGTTAACCACTGAGCTAGCTCATCAACATCTACTTTAGCTTAAAGGAGAAAAACTCATGTAATCAATTTTTAAAATGCAGAAACACTGTTACAGAGCACTCTGAAGAAATTTAACATGATTAGGCTGGCAAGGTGGGTAAAGCGCTTGTTGCACAAGCCCAGTGACCTAAACTCAATCTCTGGTCTTTGGACAGAAAGAGAAAATGGACTCTAAAAAGTCTGACCTTCACATGTGTTCTATGACACATGTGTGGCCTCACTCACATCATACACACAATAATAAAAAGTCATTTTAATTTTTAAAATTTTTTCTGGAAAGCTGACTCATGGTTAAGAGCACTTGTTACTCTTGCAAAGGACCCGGGTTTGTTTGCCAGCACCCACACGATGGCTCACAACCATCTATAACTCCAGCTCTGAGGGAGCTGATGCCTTCCATGGGTACCACATGCACAGTGCATACAACATGCAAACAAGATACTCAGTGAGAGTCAGGGCAAGCAGCAAAAAACAAATGCTTCCTTCTCCCATGTCCTTTTATATAGGCTGCCATCATAATGTGTCCCAGATATAGGGTGGGGCTTCTGGCTTCAGGTAACTAATCAAAAAAATCCATCACAAGAATGCCCAGCTGCTGGGGTCTTAGTCGATCCCAGACACAGTCAAGTAGACAACCAAGGTTGGCCATCACATACCATTGCTGCTGCCTGTCCTCTGCTGACTTCAGACCCCGGCTTCTTCAGCCTTCCACCTTGTATGAAAAGAATACCACTGTGGTTATACACTCCATTTTCTGTCTCCGTTTCCCTGTTGATGGACACCTAGGCTGGTTCTGCAACTTACCTGTTGTGAACAGTGTTGCAGTGAACACGGATGTGCAGATGTGCTGTGATGTGCCCAGGAGAAGCATAAGCTTTGTTTTATCGTATTTGTGGGGAGTATATTTTTGTATATGTGTGTAAATGTGTGTACTCATATATAAGTGTGTATGTGGAAGCCAGAGGTTGACGTTGGGTGTTTTCCTAAATTGCTCTCCATTTTATCTTCGGAGGTTTTCAAAAGAGCCAGAGCTCACTAATTCTGCTTGGCCAACTGACCAGTAAGCCCTGGTATCTATCTACCCTTGTTTCTGTCCCCAGTGTTTGGGTTACAGATGTGTGTCAGCAGCTGGCTTTTATGTGGGTACTGGGGATCCTCACGCTTAACAGGATAGGCACCTTACCCACCGAGTGTCTCCCAGCCCCATGCTTATTATTTTTTAGTGTACGTTTTTATGCAATGCAAAAATCTGCCCCATCATCTTTGCATATGCCCTCGTTGGCATGTTATGAATAGTAGTGAGCTTCCTTATGCAAATTTGGGAGAACTACAAATAGCAAGAATAAATATCAAAGGAAGTCACGTGGCCTTAAGGACTTATCTTTCCCACAAAGGTTATACAGAGAAAGCTTCTTTTTCCAACTGCTATGCCACACTGTAAACGAGGCCTTAGAAAAGGCAGCCAGTCAGGAAAGCAGTATATGCTGATTTGATTAGGTATTCTGGGAGCATTCACAGACAGAGTCCCATAACTACAAAAAAAAATCAAAATACACACTGAGAGATATGCTGACTATGCACCTGTGCTTTGAGTTACATTTCATGACAGTAATACACACCCAGAGAGGAGACTATTTCAGGATCTGACAAGTACAACCACATAAAAGTCCTATGTCTAGAAATCAATCCAACAGACTCTTTAAGACTGTAGAGAAAACCAGAAAGCATTCCGGGCAGAAGCTAAGGGAGACTGGAGTATAGGCAGCCCACTGCACATTTGGGGATTTAGAAAAGTCAAGGTTGTTCTAAAGTAAGTTCTCCTCCCCCTGACCTGGTGTAGCTACCAATTTAACCAAATTCTCACTCATGGGTTTTTGGATAATCATATAAGCTGTCTTTCCATCCCAATGTCTTCAATTTTCTTTAAGAATTATTTTTAAAAATATTTTTTCTTGTTTTATTTATGCTATGCTGTGCCTTTACTTATGTGAATGCATGTGCAACATGGGTATGCAGGAGCATCAGATCCCCTAAAACTGGAGTTACAGATGTTTCTGAGATGCTGTGTGTATGTGAGAACCAAACCTAGGTCCTTTGGAAGAGCAGCACACATTCTTAACTGCTGAACCATCTCTCCAGGCCCCAGATATCTTCTACTGATATGTTTCTGAGAAGCAGTAGTCATGTGAGTGGTATCAGGAAGATGTGGGGAGCTGCCTGCCACACCCTCCAAGCACCTTTCTTGGTTGACAAGGAAGTGGCTAAAAAATGACAGCTCCATAGGAAATGGTTAGGACTCTATAGTGTTCTACCAAAGGGGCCAAATATCTCAGGAGGTACAAGCTGAAGTTGCCATTAAACACCAGCAGGAGTTTGGCAGAGACAGACACCAGGCAGAAGGGAAGGCATAGAGCCACAGATAGGGGCTTAGCCTCGGATAAAAACAGAGGTATAAGCACTTTTAAACTGGCATCTCCTACCAAAGAAGGTGTTCAGGAACCCCATGGCCTAGCAGCCTACCTAAGGACAAGCCCCAAGTGCTCAATATCCCATCATTTTTTATGAACAGTCACCTCTCCACTGCAGCTTTGAAAATAACACACACACACTTTAAGTCCCTTTCCTTCTTGTCTTTGTTGTCCTGCAAACAGCAACAGTATTCTCGTCTCTGTGCTCTAATGCCTGATGAGAAGCGATGTTAGCACAGAAGTCTATTTTGGCTCACGGTGTAAGGGTGGGGAGGGCCCAGCCGTGGCAGCAGAACGTGGGCTGCTAGCTCACATCTCAGTGTACGTGGGAGCAGAGAGCGCTGAATGGGGTTGCTCAGCTCCTGCTTTCTTTCTCCTCTTATTCCACCTCAGTCCCCAGCCTTGTTTTGCTTTGGTTTGGTCTGGTTTTTTATTTTCTTGCCATGTAACTCAGGATGTATTGAACCCCAGTGAGCCCGAACTTTCTCATCTCTCCTTCTTGTCTGGGGTCTTGTCTAACCTTCCAGCTCTCTGGTTAGGACCAGCTCAAGCCTCTGCATGTGCTCAGTCCTCCACTGGCCTCCACCTACACTGCTGGCTTGCCTGTCCAGCCCCGACACTCCTGACACCGCTAAGAGTATGATCGGAAGTCACCAAGGGCATCAGGCCTCCCCACCACTGAGCATGTCATTACCCCCTACCTGAACCCCACAGTGTCTATTTTTTCCGAGACTAACCAGGTCCTCACAAAGTGGGGGCTCTGTCCACTCCACCCATCATCATTTTTCAGCTTACTCCCACACCAGCTCACAGGGCCACACCCTTCTGTGGTAACACCAGTTCCAGGGCCAGCATGCTGTTGCTGATCTTGGCCTTTGAACAGTGACCTTCAGTTGACAGGGGTCTCTTTCCCCATTTCAGGGGCTAAGTAAGTGAGAACCTGATTGTCACTGTGGGGTACCCAGACTGGCAGGGCTTCACCATCACTGTAGGATCTCCTAGATACCGCACATCATCCCTCCCACTCCATACATGCTGCCCGATTCTGTGAATCCTGTGTGGAGTCCCTCCTCCTAACACCCCTCATTTCACCATCTACACACCTGGCCGTCCCAAGACCACTTGATTTCTGAGCCTTGTACAGAATTAGCTGTGTGCAGGCCCAGGGGTCATGGGCTGTAAGGAGCATCTATCTGATCAAGGTCCCTGAACCTCCGGGTGACACCTAGACCCTGCTTGGAATCTGGACAGAAGCCGAAGCTGAGCTGGGCACGTTTTAATGAAAGTTCACAGATACAGGAGCTTGGAGCAGGGGTCACAGCTTCCAGGAAGTTGGGGTCAGGAGTGAGGGAGCCCTAGGAGCTGGCAGCTCCCATCCCGGGAGCTCCCACATAAGCCCTTCTTGCTGGGTGTCATGTCTGAGGAGTGCAGGAGCCTGGGTAGGGTGCATGGGTCAGGGAGGGCAGCCACTGGCAACCAGGCAGCATCATGAGAGGGAGCCTAGAGATCCAGTGACTTCAGGACAGGGGCAGGAGGCAGATAGGGTGGCTGGGAGGAGTGTGCCACTCCATTGGGCACTCGGCTTCTGGCGGCCTTGCTGCCATGCATGGCTCTGGGCCTTGGCAAAAGCCCATTCTGTTCCACACTCTCTGCATCCTGAATCTCACTGCCATCAGTCTCAATACTATGTCTTCAAGGCCACTGCCTGCTGGGCTCAGTAGTCAGTAAGGGGGTACCGCAGGAAAATGAAGATGAGGATGATGCAGGAGGCTGCCAGCGCAGAGCTGGTGATGTTAAACAGCCGCGCTGTCTTGGCGTCTTCCACGGCTCCGTTCAGGTCATTCAGGAGCTTCTTGTCCCTAACCTGGAGGTGGAAGGAGAAGGAAGAGAGGCAGAGGTCAGAAGAGGCAGTGGGTGGAGATCAGCAAAGAAAGAAAGACAGAGGCCAGTGCAGGAGGAGGAAGGAAAGGGAGTGGAGGCCAGCAGAGCAGAGGGAACTGTGGTCATCAGAGGAAGAGGAAGAAAGGCAGAAGCCAGGAGAGGAGGCAGGACAAAGGCCAGCATAGTAGTGGGGATAGAGGAACTGATAGAGGAAGGGATCCAGAAGCTAGTAGAAGGGTACAGAGGTCATCAGTGGAGGTAGACAGAGGTCAGTAGAGGAGGGAGGTCGGGTGGTGGGGAGCAGGGATGTGAGAGTCGAGTAGTCTCAGCACCTCTGTCCTGCAAGCGCCCGCCTTTGGTTTGGGGAACATAGTCAATGAGAAACTCATCTCCCACAGTTTGTAAAGAAAATAGTGTCTAGTCAGAGGAGGAGCACAGGTACCCTGTGAAGGACGCCCAAGAATTTCTGTTTTCTTTTGGGCGACTGCTCCTGAGTCTGAAGTGATCTAACTTAAAAGAGGAAGGTGGCCCCGGAGGCAGCTGATGCATGGTGAATAGGACTGTGACTCCAGAGGCAGTGGGTGTGGGATGCGATGACATGTGTGTCCAGTGTACTGTGGTCAATTCTGCCTAGCTGAACATTAACTGATGCTGAGTGGACAAGGCATCCTAGGGAGATGGGGACAGAGATGGCCATTTCTAAGAAACTACTTGGTCCTGGCAGACATGTCTTAGGACAGCCTCCTTGTGCTGCATAATCCCGTGGGTCCTGTGGGAGCTGACTGAACATGACCCAGCTGAAAGCAGAGCCTGGAAGACGGGGTTGGAAGATGAGCACAGTGAGGGCATGGAGATTGCTATATTCACGAACTGGATTTGGTTGAAAGAAGGAATATGGGCGGACAGACGCTTGGCCTGGCTGATGCCAGGGTTAGGGAAGGGGCTACCTAAGGAGGAAGGGTGGTGGAAGGGAGAATGCGTGGGTAGGAATGGGGCTGGGGCATGGGCAACAGAGGACAACTGAAGCCTGCTAGGAGGAGGGATTGTTCTTCGGAAGGAGTGCTAAGGCAGGAGGTGTGCTATGGGTAGGCAGCAGTGGGCACACAGAGCAGAGAGGAAGAAGGGTAGGGCTGGGGTAGAGTAAGAGGGACCAGCAAAGGGCATGGAGGAGTGACTTGGAAGGTGCTATATGTGGATTGGATGAAGAGCGTATGGGAAGAATGGCTTGGGAGCCAGGGGAGCGAAGGTGGGAGTGAAAGTCTGCCCTCTGGTGCTTTGGGAACCAACATCCCTGTCACAAAGAATGAGGTGTGTCCCCGTTTACTTAGTTTCCACTATTTGAATGAAGTATTTGATTAAGTTTTATTATTTTCTCCAGGAAGTTACATTCTCTCTTCCCTTGGATTTAGTATTAGCCTACTTGTTTTTCCTCTATAATGCAAAACCCTTTCTGCCACCAATGCTTGCTGTAGACACTGGATTTCTAGCCAGTAAGATTCTATATCCAGTTCAACTACCCCACTGTGATCATGATCCAGGTGTTGTCTTTAAGGAACTTCCTCTTGCAAGCCCCTCCTCCAGGCTGCAGCTGTGCTAGGGAAACTCTTGGGCCTGAGTTGCACCTCTGCAGGAGTCCACTGGTTACTGCACACAGTTAGTGGGCCCTGTTGCTGTGCCTAGTGTTCGCCTGTGGTGTGGAGACCATGGAGTGTCCACCCCACAGTGGTGGGAAAGGCCATCATTAGTGTCATATTCCTGGCATAGCATCTTGCCCGTAGGCTCCTATGAGGAAGACAAAGGATTCTAGAACAATGCTGACTAGCAGAGGGTATACGGAAGAACCTTGGCTAACCCTTGTTATTTTTTTATTTTTTATTTTTTTTGAAGAAAATAGATATTTATTCTTTTACAATTCTGGAGGCTGGAAGGTAGCTATGAATACAGAAGTGAATATCAAGTAAACAGTATGTGGGCAGGTGACCCCTCTCTCTCTCTCTCTCTCTCTCTCTCTCTCTTACACACACACACACACACACACACACACACACACAGAGAGAGACACACACACACTAAGTAGCTTGGGCAAGTGGAGCCACTGGTGTTTTGATGTGACAGAAGAGACAGTGGGTGAATTTTGTCATATTCTAGACAAGTGGGATGGGATACATATGCACGCACAGGGACATATGTCAGATGGAAATAACAGGATAGACAAAGATATGAGTAGCTGCTTGTTGTGGGAGCAGGCAGGCAGTCAGATGAGAGAGAGTATGTGTGTGTGTGTGTGTGTGTTCTGGGTGAGTAGAGCAGGTGTTGTGAGGAGACAGAAAATATGTTGATTGTATAGGGTGCCTTGGATGATGGGAACTAGTAACATGTTTTTGTAGTTAGGGTGGACACCTAGATAGAAGTGTTCAGAATGGGTGGGGCAGGTGGGCAGATATGGTTATGAAGGTGTGTCAGATGTCTGGACTAGTAATGGTGTGTATTTGTGCATTTGTATCTTTTGGATGGATTCCTGATATGTATGCTGGATGTGTGGAATAGGTAGACAGACATTTAGGATTGTGCGTGGGATGGGTGAGAAGAAAGAGAGAGGAGGTTGGAAGAATATATCACTGGCTAATGAATGGGGGATGGGTACAGATTCTTAAATTCATCAACCAATTAGTCAGTCCATCTTCACTTAGTGCCTGCTCTGGCATCCTGGGTGTGTAATGGCAGCCATGCACAGCCCAGCTAGGTTCTGGTACGCAGCAAGGAACAAAGAAAAGCCTCTGTCCTCATGGTTCACAGACCAGGTGAAGAATCATAAAGCACAGGGCAAGCAAGGCAGGTATCCATGGGATGCCAGGGGCCGATGGTGTCCTGGGAGATCCAGTCAGCAGATACCCCAAAAAGACTTCATTGAGAGATCAGTGACAGGTTTGGTCCTATGGAGGCGGGGGGGGGGGTTCAGGGAGCACACCCGGTGCAGGGAGCAGAGCCCCATGGCGGGGTGGCTGAGGTCAGCTGGGACAGCCGTTGGAGGTCGGAGCACAGACAAGTAGGGAACAAGAGAAGCTGTTGAATCGATGGTGGGGCTTTCAGAGTGACACAGAGCCAGAAGGGAGGGAAAGCAGGACAGGCTCTAACAGAGCCTTTGGTTGAGGATTCGGGTCAGACAGGGAGGAGGCAGAGCCTGGCCTAGAGAAAGGGGGTAATTCATCAACCGAGGACATGGGTCTAGTAACATGGGCAAGAGCTGTGGCAGTGAAAGTGGGCTGGCGGATGGGTTCTGGATCTGTATTGAGGGCAGCACTACCAATGCTGAATTTAGTGTGGCGGATGTGACGTGATGGGGCTTGAGATGAGGTGGCCTTGAGGATAAACTAAAAATGAGTTACAGATGGAAAACTGGGAGGTACAGGCCAAGGAGCTTGGCAGCTCCCGGCACTAGTGAGAGCTGCTTTCTAGACTTATGGCTAGACATGGAGAGCAGCAATGCTGCTGAGTCTGGAGTTCAAGGATGGGGGGGGGGGCAGAGATGGGCATGTGAAAGGCATCACTACATGTGTGATGAGATCACATTGGACTGGCAAGGGGGGTGGCTAGCTCCACAAAGACGAGGAAATTGAACGGGAACAGTAAGAAGACTCGGGAGAGTGGACAGAGAAGCGAGAAAAAAGCTAAGCAGAACAAGGGAGGTGGGTAAGGCAGGAGCAGAACATTGGAGAAGCAACCAGAGCAGGAAAGACACACAGTGCTCAGTGGGCCCCAGAGATGACAGGTGATATCTGTTGTAGAAAAAACACAAAATGGAAGGCAGGTACTAGACGTGGGAAGTTGGGTGCGTCAATCAAAGTAAGTAGGGGAAGAAGATAAGGGCATTAGACGAGATGGGCAGATGAGTGGGTGGACAAATGGGCAGCCTTTTGGTGAATGTGATCCAATAGATGAATCCATGAAGGGAAGGGAAGAGAAGGACAGGTCCTGGGTGGGCAGACCAATGGGTCTCATCCTCCAGTGCTGAAGGAACAGGAAAGGGAAAAGAAAAGGGAGGCTGATGGGGACCAAATCGGCAGGAAGTGCTGAGCTCTGAGTCTGCACTCCACCAACTTATACAATGAAGGTTCTGGCCCCCAGTGATGGTAGGGGGCAGGGCCATTGGGTTGAGGCAGTCCTCATATAGAAGAGGCTCCTTCCACCATGTGAGGCGATGTGACTAGCCTACAGTCCAGAAGAGTACAGACTTGACTGGAGCCTGGCTGTGCTGAGGCCTTGTGAAGTTCCAATCAGCAGAACTGTGGGGAAGTCACAAAGTGTGGAAACTCTCCACACATGCAGACCAAAGCATGTGACTTAGATTTGGGGTTCATGACCAGCAGTCACCGACACATGATGGATGGACAAGGGAGGTGACATAGTGGGTAGCCAAAGGATACGTGCGTAACAGGAGGAAGGAGAGAGGCTGTAGGGTGCATGGATGGTGATTTTAGTGTGCATGATGAAACATATGGGCAGAGTGATGGGATGGGTATTTAGAGCAGACATGGCAGAAAGGAGTAGGCTTCACTTAGATAGAACAATGGACCAGTTGGGATGGGAAGGAAATACCTGGAAGTAGACAGAGAGGGTCTGGGGGTGTAGCTCAGTTGGGAGAGTATTTTAGTATGCACATGGCTGTTGTCCCTAGCCCAACAAACGAAGTGGAGAGTGTGCTGATACACACCTGTAATACTAGAATTTAGGAGGTGGAGGCAAGAGGACCAGGAGTTCAAGGTCATCCTTGGCTACATAGAGAGTTAGAGGCCAGCTTGGGGTAAGAGAATGAGGGAGGGAGAAAGGAGGAAGAAGAGGAGGAGAGGAAAGAAGAAAAGAGAACAGAAGAGAAGAGAGAACATCCAGGAAAGGAAGGCCAAGGATGGACAGACAGAGAGACTGAGGAAGCCCAGACCAAACCAGAACAAGAGTTCCTGCCACCCTGATGGTGATCTCCAGGGA